TCTCATAACCCAACTAGGGAACACCATCCATGCTACAAGGGAGTGAGATTTGCAGAGAGGAAGATGGGAGTCCTCAGTGCTGTCTGAGCTTGGTTATTTCCTTGCAGACGTTTCCTGACCCAACTAGGTAACACCATCAGGGCCAGGAGGGAGCAGCGTGTGGCATCAGCCCATCTTAAAGCGGCTCATTTTGAGAAAACCCAATGATTCCATCATGCTCTGGAGCCTTGATTTCAATCCCTGAGCTCAAGGCCCAGATTTCTACAGGTCCCTGCCAGGGTCTCCTCTCCCACCCAGCTTCTTGGTCTCCATCCCCTCCGAACCTCCTTCCTGGGGAACGCTGAGTGCCACCCGGCCTCACCTGTCCCTAGAGGAGGCAGGTGTTGCTGGCCTTCACACCCACCCCTTGGCAACCTCACCCCCCAGGTGCCAACAAGCGGCTGAATCCTCTGCAGAGAAAGCTGGGTCAGGAGGTGAGAATACTTTGTTCCTGTCATTAAGAGGATCGGATTTATTAATAGCTCCAAGCTGCAGGGCCTGGCTGTTCCTCTCCCTCCCCAACTGGAAAAACAGCCTCTTTTCCTTCCTGCCTCCATGCCATCCCTTGGCTGAGGCTGTTTTGTTTTTGTTTTGAGCCAAGAAATAAAAGATTTTCTTTCATTTCTCCATAAATGCACCCAGGGAGGAGAGAAAAATATATTAAAAATAATAATAATTTAATGTGAGTTTTGAAACGAGAAGCAGACAAGCCACAAACGATTTTGAGCTTGCTTTGGCGAACCATAAAAACAAAGTTTTTTTTTTTTTAATAGGAGGAAGAAAGGGAGGTAAAGATAAAGGGAGGGAGGGCAGGAGGAAGGAAGGAAAAAGAAGTAAAGGTACAGGAGGGAGGAAAAAGGGAGAAGGGAAAGGAGAGAAGGTAAAGGTGGAGGAAGAAAGGAAGAGGAAGGAAGGAAAGAAGGGGAAAGACAGGTAAAGAAGGTGGGAAGAATGGAAGGAGAGAGGAAGGGAAGGAAGGAAGAGGTAAAGGAAGAGAAGGGGAAAAAGGGAAAAGGAAGAAAAGAGGGAGAAGGGAAAAGAAAGGAAGAGGTAAAGGTGGATGAAGAAGGGAAGAGGAAGGGGAAAGACAGGTAGAGGGTGGAAGGAAGAAGGGAAGGAGAGATGAAGAAGGGAAGGAAGAGGTGGTAAAGGAGGAAGAGGGAAAAAGCTAGGAAGAAAGGAAGAAGGGAGGGTGAAGGAAGGGGAAAGAGAAGTAAAGGTACAGGAGGAAGGGAAAAGGGAGAAAGAAGAAAGGAAGAAGAGATAAAGGAAGAGGAAGGAAAAAGAAGAGGAAAGATAGGTAGAGAATGGGAGGAAGAATGGAAGGAGAGAGGAAGAAGGGAAGGAAGGAGAAAGAGTAAAGGAAGAGGGGAAAAGGGAAAGTAGATACATAGATAGGAAAGAAAGAGAAGTAGAGGGAGGAACTTTATTCTGCGACAGTTATAACAATGGAAAACGTAAGGATAGCTTACAACTAACCCATCTCCCCCCAAAATCATTTATTTCCAGAAGACCAAAATCAAAATCCATTTTCGGCCTGATCGGTCACTTGCCTCACCAACCCGCGGGAGGGAGGGGTTGGACTAGATGACCCATAAGGTCCCTTCCAACTGATTATCTGTTAACCCCTCGCAGTCACATCGCCCTGAGGCATTTGACAAATTTTACGCTTTTCAGGGAGAAAATCCCTCCCTCTCCCTTTCCATGGAAAAAAACCCAGCGAGGCAAAAGAAAAAAAGAAAGAAAGAGACGAGCATTCGGGCATTCTCCA